AAGTCAAGTATTTTTCCAAGTGTGTGTGTTTGTGTGTGTGTGTGTGTGTATGTGTGTATGCCATTTAATGCCATTTAATAAATGAAAAAGAAATAATAAAATTACACTGTTACCATTTTGCAACCCTCAGTGAATGAATTGATTTAGGCATTGAGTATCAAGAGCTGCTAAGATCACAAAAGAATATAACCAGACATTATGTACTTCTTGATAGAAGAACACAGTACTATCAAAAGTCTTGCTAAAAGGACTGATCATGAGAATGATCAAGCCTTTGCATTCAGCTGCCAATTTGCAGGAAGTACAGAGCCAAAGGACCACATAATGGCCCCATGAATATGGACTGATTTTACTGGGAAACCTACAGGTTAAATGCCTTGAGTTTCTCAGTAATTATAAGGAATAAAAAAGGATTAAGGGGCAACTTACACTTTAAAAGATATTTAAAAGACATAAAATTTTTAGTAATTCATTTCTTTCCTTTTCGGAATGAACCATTTCTCGTTTGAAATTTTTTCAACCATCCCAAATTACATATGTACATTCATGGGTATGCTTCACACACGCATACTGCATATGCGTATAATGCTTATACATACAGACACATGTAAAAATACACTGTTGCTTTGTTTTAAAATGTTCAAACTCTGTATGTGTTAGCTTTGAAACGTGCTTTCCTCATTCAGTAATTGTGTCTTCATCTTTTCCTGTTAGAAGTAGTAGTTCTTTACCTAATTTAACTTCTACATAATATTTCCTAGGATGAATGTACCATAATTTATTTAGCCTTTTAAAAAATCTATTTATAGGCAGCTTGTTTCCAATTTTTCTTTATTCCAGACCATAGTATAGTGAATATCCTTCTGCATGTTTCTCTTCTTGAAGTTGTGGAGTATCCTTAAATTTTGAAAAGATGGTTATTGTGTTTCCTTCTTTTTTATTGTATCTAATACTAAAGTATAATAAGAATAGTTAAATTGTGCTTCCACTCAACTGAGTATATAAACTGTGTTAAGTTTTGTAAGTATTTATATTAACTTCAGCCTTACTCAGGAGAAAGTTAGTGAATTCTTTTCATTTGTTTTGAAAAATAATTGAAGTCTTACATGTAAAAACATTTCTCATATCATGTTAAATAAACTGGCTGATGTTGATGTGGGCTTGATTGTTGTTTTCCATGTAATTGTACAATTTCACAGAAGGATGTTGTTTAAAAAGTGATGCTAGAAGTTGTGTAGTAACTTTCATGAGTCAAATTCATAGTTAAATTTTTTAAAATATATTTTACAATCTTCATGTTTGTATACAACTATTTATACTCCTCAGTAATGCTGTATCTTCTAAAGTTATTTCCTAGATGTGGAATTACTAGAAGGAGCAGAAACATTTTCAGGGCTTTTGAAACATGTTGCCAGACTGCCCACTAGAAAAAGACCTCTGCCAGAAATGTGATGATTTATGCCTGTTTCTCTGAATGTTTGCTCTGTAATTTTTACTTATTAAAGAAGTTGAACATGTTTTTCTTTAAGTTTGCTGATCCATTTGTATGCCTTTTGTGAGTATCCCTTTATTATGTTTGCTGATTCTTTCTTTTTAATGATTTATAAAAGCCACCTTATAGTGGCTAATAATCCTATTTGTAGTTATAAACATTTTTTTTCTGTTGCGTCGTTTGTGTCTTTTCTTTATAAGTGTGTTTAATTTGGGGCAAGGGTGGTATCTGTTTGTTTTGGTTTTGTTTATGTGCATACACGTTCCCAGCCTGGATTGAGAAACATGAAGTTTTATTTTCTCCCAGTTCCTATAATTATGATTTCCTTTACTTTTGTGTATGGTGTGAGGTAGATTTGGTTTTCTTAAAATTATGTTAATCTTTTAAAAATAGAATACTTGGGTATGTGCACAACAGAGAGAAAGAGACAAGGGTTCTTTTATAGGTAAAAGAAAAAATACTGTTATTTAATGGACTAATTTCAAGTTAGAATTTAAAAAGGATGACTTTTTTTTTTTTTTTGAACAAGTTAATTGAATAAGACCAGACTAATTTAGCTGAGCAACTTTGGCTTTTCATGTTGACTTCACTTAAACAACTATATCTTTAGAGATACAGTGTTCAGCTAACATTAGGTAAAAAATGGACAAATCAGTATTCAGATTTTTTTTCACCTAGTTTTGATTTCTTATTTGTATTTTTTTTATTGTGGCATAAAATACAAATAACATAATTTATTACCTTAACCACTTTTGAGTTTTTGATTCAGTGGTATTAAATACATCCACATTTTTGTGCAACCATCAACAGCATCCATCCCTATAACTTTTAATCTAGTAAAACTGAAATTCTAGACCTATTAAACAGTAACTCAGAATTTTCCTCTCCTACCAGCCCATGGCAACCACCATTCTACTTTCTGTATTTATGATTTTGACCACTGTAAGTACCTCATGAAAGTGGAATTATACAGTATTTGTCTTTTTGTGATTGGTTTATTTCACTTAACATAATGTCTGCAAGGCTCATCCACATAACATATTGCAGAATTTCCTTCCTTAAGGCTGAATAATATTCCATTGTATGTATATACCTCATTCTGCTTATCCATTCATCCACTGACATACTTGGGCTTCTTCCATGTTTTATCTACTGTGAATAATGCTCCTGTGAACCCTGGTGTACAAATACCTCTTCAAGACTCTGCTTCCAATTGTTTTGGGTATATACCCAGAAGTGGAATTGCTGGGTCTATGGTAATTGTATTTTCAATTTTTTGAGGAAACACCATACTGTTTACCACAGTAGCTGTACCATTTTATATTCCCATCAATGGTGTACAAGGGTTCCATTTCCTCTATATCCTTACCAACACTTACTTTGTTTTTTTCTTTCCCCCAGATACTAACTAATGTATATAAAATAGATAAACAACAAGTTTGTTCTGTATGGCACAGGGACTATATTCAGTATCTTGTAGTAACCTATGTGACCTTGGATGAGTCATTTCCTCACCTCTCTGAGCCTCAGTTTCCTTATCATGAGAAGCAATGGTGTTGGCATCAGTTACACTCGGGTTCTAAGCCCGGTGCTGCTACTTCCTAGCTGGGTCCTTTGGCTTGTCTTGTAACCTCTGAACCTCAGTCTCCTCATCTACAGAATTAGGTTTGCAATAGCGCCTACGCCTCAGAGGGTTGTGTGAATCTTGTCTCTGGGCAGCTAGGTTTCAAGGTGTGCCTGGGAGGAGTGGAAATTCAGGGTTGAAACCCTGGAAGCACCCTTATTGATAGTAGCCATTCCAGTGGTTGTGAGGAGGTATCTCGTAATTTTGATTTGCATTTCCCTAATGGTTAATGGTGTTGAGTATCTTCTCATGTGCTTATTGGCCATTTGTATATCATCTTTGGAGGAATATCTGTTTAAGTTCTTTGCCTATTTTTGAATTGAGTTGTTTGGGATTTTTTGTTGAATTTTAGGAGTTTTCTATATATTCTGGATATTAATACCTTATCAGACATACGATTTGTAAACATTGTTCCCATTCTATGGATTGCCTTTTTATTCTGTGAATAGTGTCATTTGATGCACAGATTTTTTTTCAGTTTTTATGAGGCCAGATTTGCCTATTTTTTTCTGTTGTTACTTCTTGCCTTTGGTGTCATATCCAAGAACTCATGGCCAAATGGAATGTCATGAAGCTTTTTGTGCTATATTTTCTTCTAGAAGTTTTATTGTTTTAGGTCTTACATTTAGGTCCTTGATCCACCTTGAGTTAATTTTTGTATATAGTATTAGATAAGGGTCCAACTTCATTCTTTTATATGTGGATATCCAGTTTTCCCAGCACCATTTGCTGAAGAGACTGTCTTCCTCTGTTAAATGGTCTTGGCACCCTTATGAAAAATAATTTGACTTTGTATGTGAGGGTTTATTTCTGGACTCTCTATTTCATTCCATTGGTTTATATGTCTGTCTTTATGCCAGTACCAAACTTTTGATTATTGTGGCTTTGTTGTAAGCTTTGAAATAAGATAGAGTGAGTCCTCCATCTTTTTTTTTTTTCTTTCTTTCATCTTTATTTTGGCTATTTGAATCCCTTGAGATCCACATGAATTTTAGGATGGGTTTTTCTGTTTCTGCAAAAAATATCATTGGGGTTTTGATAGGAATTGGATTACATCTGTAAATTGCTTTAAGTAGTATTGACATCTTCACATAGTAATAAATCTTCCAGTCCATGAACATGGGATGTGTTTCCATTTATTTCTGTTGTCTTTAATTTTTTTCAGCAGTGTTTTGGAGTTTTCATTGCACAAGTCTTTCATCTTGTTGGCTAAGTTCATCCCTAATCATTTTATTCTTTTTGATCCTATTGTAAATGGAATTGTTTTTATAATTTTTAGATTGTTTCTGTTTAGAAATGCAACTGACGTCAGTGTGTTGACTTTATATCCCACTGCTTTGCTAAATTCAGTAGTTCTGACTGCTTTTATGCTGAATCTTTACAGTATAAAACAGAGATAATATTACTTCTTCCTTTCTAATTGGATGCCTTTTATTTCTTCTTGTCTAATTGTTCTGGCTATGACTGCCAATACCATGTTGAATACAAGTGGTAAAACTGATCAAAATTAGACACAGTATATGTCCAAGTTTTCCCCTTAAGTTGCAAGCCTTCAGCAGACTCCAGAATTCCAAAATCACATCAGACAGATTATGCCTATGCAATTATTGTTTAGGTAGGGAGACAGATTCCTTGTGTTTCCTACTTCACCATCTTCCCAGAATCTGAATTATTTTTAGTAATTAAATAAATTTTTAAAAATATTGACATGACTTTAAAATGGAGAACCATTTCTCTCAGACTTTATGTATTAAACCATAAAATACACTTGGCATACAGTTAAATATTATTGAGTATTAGGGTAGTTATGAAAAATCATGATTTGAATTGAACTCATACTGCTTTTCAAAGCTTCATCATTTAATAATTTCCTATACTTAACAGAAATACCGGTATCAGGATGAAGATACACCTCCTCAAGAGCACATTTCTCCACAAATCACTAATGAGATGATAGGTCCGGAATTGGTTCATGTCTCTGAGAAGAACCTGTCAGAAATTGAGAATGTCCATGGATTTGTTTCTCACTCTCATATTTCACCAATAAAGGTAAGATAATAACTTTGTTTGTTTGCTATGAATTGTATATTACTTTTGTTACTAATATAGCGCATGCTCAGATAGAACAATTCTTTCATGTAGGATTTTCCCCCCTTGATTGTTTCTGGTTTTGTAGTTAAAAGAAATTTCACAATTATTAGCATTTGAAAACATTTTAAAAATATATATTTTAAAAGTGGATTTTATTCAGTGACATTGTCTTGAACTCTAAAATTTTTCATGAAGGAAATAACTTTTGTATTTCAAATACCCACATTAAAATATTTTTAAACTTCAAAAAAAATTAGTAGGTACAGTACAGAAAAAGAGCATTAACAGTATCTTTGGAGTCCAGTATGTGGCCTTACCTGATCCCATCACCTTGTCTCTCCCCTCAGAAATAACCACAATCCTGGTTTCACGTATTTAGATTTCTAATCAATATATTTCTTTTGCCTGTTTTGAATTTTATATAATTGGAATTATACTGTATATAATCTCTAATTGCATTTTTTACTCAACATTATATTCCCAAGATTCATTATTTTCATTGCTCTAGAATTTTCTATTTGTCTTATTTTTATAAGTAAGATATAATTTATCTTATTTTTGATGGATATTGAGTTATTTTCAGATTAGTACTAGTATGAAAAGTGCTATTAAAAACTTTGGTTATGTATACACATTTTGTGGATAACACCAGATTATTTTCCAAATGGTTGTTTAACTTACATTTTCAGCAGCAACGTGTAACAGCTTTAATTGACCTATATTTTCAGCAATACTTAGTATTGTTTTGCCATTGAAGTAGTATCTCATTGTGATTTTAGTGTCCATTTCACTGTTTGATAAAATTGGTCATTCAGGCTTCCTATTCTATGACATACCCTCTCAAGATTTTTTTTCTCATTTTTGTTTTGGATTGTCTTTTTTACTGATTTGTACAAGTTCTTTATATATTCTGGATACTAATCCTTTGTTAGTTGTATGTATTGTGTATAAGGATCATTTCTTACTAGTAAACCTTAAAATGGGTTTTGTAATTCTCTTTGAAGGATGATACCATATTACTGGTTAAAAATTTTAATGGTTATTTAGTACCATTCAGATTTTCTATTAATAGTTTTTCTAGGAATTTGTCCATTTCATACTTAACTTCAAAGTAGCCTCAACATCCTATTATTTTTTTATGTCTGTCGCATATTTAGGTGTAACCCCCTTTTCATTCCTAATATTGTTTATTTATGACTCCCCCTCCTTGATCATTCTTGCCAAAGGATGGTCAATTTCAAAGAACCCACGTCTTTTTAAAAAATCTCCTGTGTCCCTCCCCCATGTGCTGTCACCTCCATCCCCCTTCATACACACATGTTCATATAAGTGTGTGGATAGCCTACATACCAATTAGATTGTGTTTGGCAGAAGCAGTCCGATCTTCCCTTGGGAGGCTAAATGATACATACACAGGGGAAAAACATCGGTTGGTTGTTTGTGACAGAGACAGTTTTCCTTTTTACCTTTTCCCCTTTCTCTTATCATTATTATTTTACTTTATTTTGCCTTCTTTGAGTTTATTCTGTTCAGATTTTTTCCCCCTGGTTTCTCAAGTTGGTTGCCTATTGCATTATCAGCCTTTTCTAATGGTATTTGAGTTTGTAAATTTTCCTTTAAATAACACTTAAGCTGTATCCCACAAGTTTTAATATGCAGTGTTTTTCATCACTCAAATGTTTTCTTTCATTTCCATTATGATTTTTTTCTTTGTCCCATGAGTTGTTTAGAAGCATGTTTCTTACTTTTTAAACATGGAAAGCATTTATTCTTTCTGTCTCTTCTTTTAGATTTTATTTTCTCATCGCATTTCTCCTTATTAGTTTGGAAGTTACTCTGTTTCTCTTCCTTTAATGGTTATCCTAGAAATTTTAATATATATATTTAGCTTACAAAAATCTAAACTCAGTAAATATATTTCCCCCTCATTCTGAACTACTCATAAGAACCTTAGAACATTTGAGTTCTAAGCACTCCCTCCTGCTTTTATGCTATTCTTATAAGCCTATGCCTGTTTTTTCTTGACTGAATTAATATAACCTATTTCTTACTTTAGTCACAAAACCCTCGTAGATATGTATAATTCTTTTGTTTGTGATGTTTTGAATTTCTGACTGATTATTATTGTTACAAATTACCCAAAACCAATTTGTACAAACCCAGCTCCTTAGTCTTTTGGTGAGAGTTTGGCAGTTACTTCTGTATGTATGCAGATTCTGACACAAGCTGACTTTTAAACAGTGAGCCAGGTTATGTATAAAGTATTTTATATAGACTGTTTAAATATGATGAAGCCTCAACTCTCTGTGTTGCATATGATTCTCACTCTCGGCAAATAAAAGAATATTCCAGACACAAGATTTTGTTACCCAGAATTTCCAGACATTTTAGAGATTAAATCTAAAATGCTATCCCTAAGGATATAAGCCCCTTCAGAGACTTTTCTTTCCCTTATGCAGGGGTGGATTGTGTCCCTAAATTGATTTAGCCAATCCATATAACTGAAATATAATGAGTTTCACCAGTGACAGCCCATTTCATTCATTATGATCATTGGGGAAACTTTTGATGTTGATCAAAGATTAATATAACAGAAATCTTCTTGCAGCCATTTACTTTATAATTAAATGTTAGCGAACCTAGAAATGTAGATTCCTGATTAGGACACTGATTGCCCATAGAGTAATGGTTCTCCGCTGTGGCTGGACATTGGAATCATCTAACAAGGTTTTAAAATTGCTATCTGAGTGCTACCTCAAGAGACTGTAATTTAATTAGTCTGGGGTACAGTCTGGCCTTTGGGATTTTTACAAGTTCTCCAGGTGTTTCTAGTGGATAGCCACTATTGAGAAGCACTCTGCTAGAATGTAGCTTAACTGAACCACTATACACATATTTATTTACTGTCTGAGATATTTTAAATTAAATTTCTGATATCTCTTTATTTAATCCTCACTCTGCATTGGGACTTAAATATTTTCAACTATTGAAAAAGAAACTTCTGTAAGATTTTTACTTGGTTCCTTGATCTGACTTTTTTTCCCCTGATTCCCTCACCAAAAGAGGATGAAGTCAGTTTTGCCTGATTCTTTTGGTATCTGCTTTAAAAATGCTCTTGTCCTTTGCATGCAGTTAATTACTGCATAATAATCCCACAGCTTTTTAAAGACAGATTTGACAGAGGCTTATTTAAAGGAGTACATTATTGAGAATAAATATCCACCATCAGTTATAAAAACACATCTTTTTCACATTTTATCTTTTCTGACATTGTCATACGTTTTACAATTGCTGGTGTTTTACTGTTGCCTGAGTGAAGTGGCAGTTTTGAGTATTTGTATATAAATCTTTGTTAACAAATTTTGGTAAAATCAAGAAAGTATCAAAGCATCTTAGTGTATTTGGTAATAATTCAGCTGATCTCATTGAAAAGTAGTTGAGTTTGTCCATCCTTACACGCCATTCTCTTGTTCTTTTTCATTTTGTTTTATTAGATATTAATAGCATTAATCTCTGAAACAGTTAGTTATAATTAGTTTTATATATATATATATAATTGCTTCTGGTGCAATTAGGTTAGGTAGTTGGGTGTCATCATTGTATTCCCCATTTGGCTTGCTGTCTCTCTGATTTATATTTAGGGACTGAATAGATAAGGATTTTCATTTCCAGTAGAAGAAGTTATCTGACTTCCTTTCATCTATGTCTAAATCATACTTTATGTCTTAACTTTTTTTTTAACCAAGTCTTTTCCTATTATAAACTTGTTTTACACATTTTGCCATGTTAATTTTTTTAAAAACTTGATGCATAATATTACCTAGAATAATTTGATGAACATTTCTGGTCTTTGCTATCTGTTATTTCCATTTTTACTGCGTTTTGTAAAGAAGGCTTCGGTGAATAACCTTGGGGCATAAAAAGTATGTTTGGTTTCTTAGGGCAGATTTTCAGAAGTCAAATTACTGGATCAGAAATCTTGATAGGTGGATTTTTGACGGACTGTATTCTGATACAATGTAATTTAAGAATTATTAAAGCTGCCCCATTTGTGATATTTCTTCCTACTTCTCCTATTTCATGCATTGGTTAAAATTTGAGGAGTGAAATAGTTAGGAGTGGAATATCATAATAGCAGAATGGTTAGGGTTCCTTATCTTTCTGTTAGAAAACCAAATTTAAAAAAAACCCCTGTTTTTACATAAGAAGGCAAGTTATACATAAGAATGCTGTTTTTATATGAGAATGCTTTCAAATTTTTACAAATAACTGCATATGTTTTAGGAAGGTCAGCAATGAAGTATATTTTACTTAAAATATAAATAAGATTACTTTTTAAGAAAACCAATTTAGAGAGCTTTCCCACTTTCATAGTATTGTGGTTTGGAGTGAAACAAGTAACTATTGTACTATACATAGAACTCAGTATATGAATTATTTTTGTAATTTGAAAATTATCTTTGAATAGTAGCAGTTTGCTGAGTAGAATGTAAATCAGGCCCTGCTTTATTCTTCGTAATTCTTATAAACGCCAATGGTTAATAATATTAATAGATGATTGCATTAAAATGAACTGTTAGAATATTAGTTCTGTTCATCAAATATACATTTAGCATTTATTAAACATCTATTCTATGCCAGTAAGTTTGTTAGACTTCAGTGATTGTTTTTTATGGAGAGAGAGTTACACAGTATGATGTAACATGAGAAATCAAGAGAGAAATTAAATGTTGATGTATTCTGAAGAAAGAAAGTTGACATTTGGACAAGGTGTTGAAGGATGTGTACAAGATGCCAGTTCAGAGAAGGCAGTTACTGGAGAAAATAAGTACAGTAGGAGGGTGATAGTATGAGGAAAACATAAAAATGCAGGAAAGTTCACGATACTGTAGCTGATGTTTAGGCTGCTCATTAGGGAACGAGGACAAGGTGTAAAGGACCTTGATCCTCAGCTGATG